GTTTTTGTCTGCACACCTTCTAATCACACCACAGTACTCACATCTTATTTAAGCATTCATGACACTTTCTCTGGTCATCTCTAAGCCTCTTCGGGTCACTCGCCTTCCAGAGATGATGCATCAAAGTCACACCACTGATCACACTCTTCATTGTGATCCACGTGGTTAAAAAATAACTATTCAGGTTACCAGGAGCTTAGGACTCACACATCTTACAGAATTTTTAAAAATCATTAGCTTTCTGCTTGTACAGTAACAACTTCCAAAGGGTCACAAAAGGCAGTATCTTCATACTCCTTTAATTCCTTTGCAGAAAAAGGTTCTCAGATGTTGACAGGGAGCCTTTCACTCATCCTACATCCTCTTTTGCCAGAAGTGTCATTCCCTACGCATGAAAGCTGGAGAAACTGCTGGAGAAGAAATGAAGACTAATGTCTAATACTTGGTTCATAGCAAATTGAAGAGAAACTTCAGGAACATTCAAGTGCTACACCTTTTTAAGTCCATAGGAAAGTGATCCTCGAGATTCCTGGAACATTATTTAAATGGGTGCCAAATTGGTGTATAAACCTGGACACTACACTCCAGACATTTTACTGAAAATGTCTTTGGAAAGAGAGGCTTTAGGAAATGCTTATGTGCTACATGTTAAATATTAGGACTTCAGATATTGCAAGTTCCTATAGGTAGAAGCTGGAGAAGAAGAGAACAAGAGCATCTATACTGTATTCACTATGATGTTTGTCTATTGGAAAAGCTACAAACTTTGTGATGACAGAATCTGAGGAACACACTACTGCCAGCAGATTTTATTAGACTGCAGGTGCAATATGTAAATGGAAGAGTCTCATTTTGTTTTAATTTAACATGGTCCTATGCACCAATTTCACATTTTCGTGAAAATGGGAGCGGACAAGTTCACCCTGGAATTCTGGCTAATCAGTCTTGGAATTGGTAATAATCACCGTGGGAATTTGTGCCTCCAGCAGATTCAAAAAGGTAAAAACAGTCTCTTCAGAAGCATGGTAAAGGCCTGCTCAGAGTATAATACATAGTCTGTATGATTTAAGTACATACTAGAATAACAATTTTTCTCCAGCACTTTTTTGACTACTCATTCTTCTAAGTCTTCAAACAGACTTGTGTCTATGACTTTGGACAGTAAAACATCAAGACAATGCAGACCAATTAGAATTCAGGTAAAAACATCAAAGACAACTAGAAGCTCAGAAATGATGACTTAAGTAAAGGTAATAGAAAGAAACTGAGCTGTTCAATTCACAGACTAGATTAGTGCAAGACATGGTAACGATGCTATGAAAAAACGATGTGAACTGTTTTTCCTTGTCTATTGGAAATAAGTCAAGAAGTGTTATGCCTAACTGCAACAAAATTATTCAGGCTAAGCATTAGGAGAAAAGCTTTCTAGAACTAAGAATTTGACCAGCTTGCGTGGTAAAACTGAGGAAACTCCACTACTGACATTTTTAAAATACATGGAAGCTACTGGGAGCAATACTGGTACAGCTCAGCCAACATGCGTGTAAGAAGACGGCAAGTCCTAAAGCCTTTTCCTGCAATAGTTTCTAAAATCCTAGAATCTTCCTCTGGAAATATTCCAAAGTTTTGCACTAGATAAGAAGAAATTATTACTTATTTTGATTAACAGACAACACTGACATTCATTTACAAAGGGCATAACTTAATTTAAAATTCAAATTTAAAGGGATATCATATGAGACAGATAATGAACATGCATTTGAGACGTTTTTAGGGACAGACCGTATTTACTTTCCAATAGTTTCCAGGCAAGAGTCTAATGAAAAACTCAGCTTTGGTAGTTCTAGCTTAGAATTACTGTATTCAGAAGAGTCCTTGCTTAAAAAAATTAAGACTAAAGGAAAGAAACAGGGATGAATGTTTACCTCAACTGTATCAGAAAAAAATCCTTGAATAAATTTCTTCTGCCTTTCTTTTGAAAGAGAGAGGGTAAGATGCTCATTTTCTTAACAAGTATCTTTGAGAGCACTGAAGTCTACACTACAGATTTGAGAAGATTCATAATTCTTCCTATCACCACTACACATTCAGAAACGAAGTGTAGTGGAATCTCTCTGGAGAAATCTTATAAAGCCCTAAGAAAACACATGTAACCTTTCAATATTATTCAGAAAGCAATCAAATGTCTGTTAACAATTTCTGGAGGGAATACAACTTATTTCTGGAAAAGAGTGCAAAATCTCAGAGTTGGATTGTTGATAGTCCTGTTATAGGACTGATAGACAGCTGTTTCCTAGGTGTTTAGGACACTGTATGGAAACAGGCTTGTAAATCATATGAACACTCCTCTTTGGAAAGCAATGGACTAAAAACATTGTGGAAGGCTTTCATTACACTTTCTTTAAAAGTTGTGCCACAAAAAAAAAAAAAAAAAATCAAAAATAAAAGAAAATCTGAGGTTCCAGAGCCATAGGAAAGTGGAACAAATGGAGAAAGGATTCTGAAGAGTAATCAATCTTCAGTAATGGATAACACTGGGTATTTTATGAGACCAACAAAAGGAAAACACTCCATTATAATTCCTCATAAATTAATTGAAAATAATTTTTTAAAAAAGTGGATGTGGCAACAGGTGATAGCATGAAAGTAGAGCCATTATGTATTTTGCATAGTTAAAAGCAAAAAATTTACATTAAAAATATGGAATAAAAACCAGCCTAGAACTTCTACACGAAAATTCAACTGGCCTGGTATCTTTACTGAAGCAAAAGTGAAGCAAAGAATCCTGTAACAGTGAAGTTTTACTCCACTGATTAAGTGAATAACCAACAAAAAACAAATATAAGTCTTGCCATCTCTCAAATATTTCCCTAGGTTGCAAAAAAACCAACTTCTTCATACACATTCCATCAAATAGATGACTACATTCAGGGTGAAGTTAATTCAAGACTGTCTCCAAGTCTCCAGAAGTCCTTGCTACTTCCATGTCAAAAGTACAGAAATTAATTCTGTACCCATATCTCCAGTAAATGCCTCAAGTTTCTATGTCATATAAGAAAGTTTAGATATTATAACATCCTTCCCAAGATCTCTCTCTGATTATGACTGGTTATGCTTAGTGCCATTCTTTCTGTCCTCCAGACACACCATCAAGTATTTTCCTAATTTTCTTTATCAATGTTTGTGACTGCCAACCAAACTTTCAAGGGCTAATGAGAGTAGCAAAAAGCTCAGCATAGATACTTGTTGTTCGTTCATCACTGGAAAATTTATCAGCCCAACTTTCACTACAAATCATAGGCCCATGTTCCTGATAACACTGTAATTACTCACACCTCTTCCATACACTTCTAGAACACTAGATTAAAGGAAGTAAGTGCCTGGCAAAATTCTTGCAGCATCAAGAACTTGTTCTCTCAAATCAGGATTCATTAATTTCTTTAAGAAGGCAAAATGGTAACAACATTAGTAGAAGTATTTCAATTGAGTAATTTATCAATGGGAGAAGTTCACATACAGGTAAATAAATCAAAAAGCTCCTCTTGCATTTTTTCAGTCCCTCTAATGCTGAAACATTACAATCTGAACTGTACAATCAGATTTTTTCAGAAATAATCTGACAATATATCCCTTCAAAACTGGGTTCTGAGACAGTCAATTGAAATAATGGCAACTTTAACAAAAAAATAATTCAAGTATTCTTCTGACTGGGTGGTAATCATGTATCTGAGTGAAAGTAGCCTAGATCCACAACATTGTTAAACCTATAAGCTTCACACAGAGGAAAAAGTAACCACATTTAGTCTTTGCCATTTACACAAGATTTACAACAAATCCTTTAGCACAAGACCTCCTGAAATATTCATGCTGTTGGCATCCTATACACATATTTCTCACTTGCCACTTGAGCCACAGGGTAATTCAGTTAAGAAGGTAACTCAGGAGATCCTTAGTTCATCCTCATGCTCAAAGCACATTATGCTGGGCTTTATCCAATCTGATCCTTAAAACCTCCAAAGGTAGAAAATTCACAGATTTTGTGGGCAACCTTTTCCACTGTTTGACTGTCCTCATAGTGAAAAGGCTTTTCCTTAAACCTAGTTAGATCTCCCATTTAAGTTTAAGTCTGTTGTATCTCATCCTTCCTCCACAACACTGAAAAACCTAACTCAAGTCTTCCTGAGAATCTCCTTACAGGCATGAGCAGGTTGTCCTAAGGTCCACCCCTGCCAAAAGGTGTCTATTATCCAGGCTGCACAATACCTTCACCTTCACATCCCCACCTCCTGTTCTCCACCTCACCTGATCATCCAGTAAGACTTACTTTCTGTGTCAGGGCTAAAGAGAAGAAAGCACTGTTTCATCTTTCAACTACTGCCATGTAAATATATAAGCACTGAAAAAAGAAAATTAGCAAGAATATGTCCAAACCCCTACCTTGCCAAGTGGATTTTGGCATAAAGAATAGCTTTGAACAGATTTTTTTCTCTTTGCCCTCAACTGACATACAGTTCATCCTATTCCTTCTCCACAGCTAAGGTTTTCAGGATTCATTTATGCTGTGTGTATTGAGTTCATTGAACTACTTTTATTTTCACGTTTTTAAAATTTTGTGATTGTAATTAAGACAGGTGTTGCATATTAAAACACTTTTGAGCTGGTAAAGAGTTCAATACTCGTAATGCTGCCTTTAAAATATTTCTTATGCAGAGAAAGTGAAACCATTCATATAAACAATTTAATCCTCATATTGGAAAGGATTTTAAATCCTTCTGTCCTCCGTGAATTTGAGTATCAATTTGAAGGATGATTAGTTAATTTTCAGACCATCAGAAATTTCTTCTGGATCAAGGCCCAAAATTTTGCATCCAAACACAATGACATATTCTTTGGTACGATTTGAAAACAGAACTCAGGAGAAAAACCTAAATACCTCTTTACACTCTCTGTTCTTTGAAAATAGAAAAAATTAATGGAGGTATAAAGGACTGTTAGACTACCTTTAAGGGTTCCATCACCTCCAGCTGGAGAGCAGACTGACTGTGGTGACCTCAAGGAAAAAGACGCAGCATTCCTTATTGAAGGATCGCCATCCTAAAGTGACAATGATAAAAAATTACAGTATGAACATGAATATCTGTTACAAACTGAAATTAGTACATGTACTGATAAAATGGATTGGACAAAACAGCATACAAGAAATACAAGCAAAATACTTTTTACATTCAAATCCCTGTAATTTAGACTGATATTAGGCTACTATAAAAGCAATACTCCATAGCACAATCTATAACCAGAATATGCACACACAAATAAATCTTTGTACAGGTCTTCTAACTAGATAAGCACTTTGGTTTACACTAAGATTCCATTTGGAACTTTTTGTTGCAAGGACTCATAGTAAAAAGCTGAAGAGCAGATACATGACCTCTGTACAATAACACCTGAAAGAAACTGAGTATAAAATACAGATTTTTAAAACAAACTCATCACTTTTTCAGTTCACCTACCCTTAAAACTTACCTAGAAAGCCATCTTACTTTTATGGTTCAACAAATTAATACTAGACAAGGTTACACAAAGTATTAATACTATACAAATACTATGCAAATTAATCCACATCCTCCAGCCTACAAACCTCAGGACTGAACAAAATCTCTAGCATTCCCACTGTAGCACCTGAAGTAGTCTTGTATAAAACACAACTGGAGCAACTTCGGCTGGTTTTTAAAGGAAATAACTCAGTGGCAGTACAAAGCACTTCCCCAACCTGCTCCAATTCAAAAAATAATTTCTGACAAAGGTGTTCATCGTGTAATACTAACTGCAATGTAATGACACCCATGTTCTACTTTTAGCAATGTAAATATGTCTTTTTCACCCCCACGCCATTCTAAAATCAAATATGGAAGTCACTATTCCAATTTCCATTCAGAGTTTTACATGGGTTTTTCCAATGCTTTCATGGAGCCCTCTGCTGGTCATGAGTATTCTCATTCTCAGTGCCCTAAATACATTTCAGCTATAGAACAGCATTTCCCATTTTAAGCATTGGTTTTTATACATCATCTACAGCAATTTTTTTGGAAAGAACAAACTAACAACACCTAAATTTATTAAGAGATTACGTCTATAATTACAAACAAATTGCAAAAAGTCCATTCTTTCAAAGGGTACAGTCTTACAAAAAAAGAAAGTCTCCAAAGAAGTTCCAATGTTATTTAATTTTTCCTAATTAAACTGGTTATTTAAGTAGCTAAAATATTAATATGACTCCTGCTGAGGTATCTGGATATAAGCAGTTTTTTCACATAACCTTTTCTTTCTTTTTCTTTTTTTTTCTTCTTACAGATCTGAATTGTCTGTCTGATAACTACCTGTTATCCTTTTGACCAGTCTCAATCCAATTAATAGAATGTTAGAAGGTTCAACTGCAATTACATTTTTACGTGTCTGAATGAAAAAAGTCCAGCAGCTAGTACTAAGTTATAAAGCTAAATTGGTATTTCAAGGAGATAGAAGCCTGCAGAGGTGAGCAACTCCACACTCCCTCTGACAATGCCTAAACAGCCAAAGTCCACGTGGGGAGTCAGAGACTGGACCACAGCCAGGCTGTGCCTTGTGAAGGTATAGCTAACACTGTTCATGGAAAAGGAACGAGTTTGAAATTTATGGAATAAAGGGGATTGCACCTCAAAGAACATACATCTGTGAGAAAGCAGATTCCATCCGTTTCACCATCCATGGGCACTTAAAATTATATTAGATTTTTTTTTAATCACAGCACAGTAAACCTAGAACTTACAATGTGGTAATAATTACACTTATTTTTGCAACAGTGCTTGCAAAGAGTTGTTGCCTCATATGAGGAAATTCTCATGGGCAAAAAAATCTAATATTCAGATCCTGCACAGTAAAATGAACTGCATATTAAATTTATAAGATATTATTTTAAGTCAAACTGAATTAATATTCTATTGAGTTACTCACTTTTCTCCTACACCGAAATTATGGAACTGATTTCTTTTTTCAAACTGATTTTTCTCTGACTTGTAATAAATCTCAAAAAAACCCTCCAGCACACTGAAAAATAAGCTTAGTAACTTCTTAGCAAGTATGTTTTATTAGGACAGGACTGGTCCTTTCCCCATGATTGTCAAGGACACAGGTAAAATCAACTTCTACTAAATTAACTAAACAGACTAACGAAGTAGATGACCTTTCGGGTACAGACGCCATTCCTACCACAGCTGACAAATTTTCAGAAATGTGCATTTACAGACTCCTAGTTTGGAGCTTCACCAAATGATGAATTATATTCTAGGAATGTTCTCAAGTTTATAAAAGAATTGTCCTTATATTGAATGTATGTTTAGTGAGCCTTCAAGGGTACACTTATTGATTTTACAGACATACATTGAAAATACATAATGTTCTGTAACTATTAACTTTTTTAAACCATCAAAGTTCTAAAACAAATAAAAATAATTAAAGCTTCTAAGTTGTATGATTCCTGTAATCCTCATTCAAAAAGATCTTCTCCAAAGAAGAAAAGGCTGCAACATTATGATTAAACTTTTTATTAATACATTGATGCAAAACTTTAATCCAAATTCTTCAAACTGTTTTCTGCATGATAGCTTCTAATATCAGCTTTTAAAGGTGTAATTACAAGTAGAACACATGCAGCACATACGCACCACTAAGAAAGTGCACAAAGGATAAAAGTGCAAGTTTAAAATGTTTACTACTCTTTCGTATTTCTCTAATTAGACCAATCAATATGGGTATACTTTGTTTTCATAGTCTGTCCATTTTGAAAGAGTTTCACACCTAAGTTTTCATGAACTAGGATGTGGTTGCATTGCTTGGATCACAAAATTAGGGATGAATATGTTTAAATACTTAGTTATTAAAAATTATGAAATTAATCATCCCAATATGAAAAGTTTTTCCAAAAATACCTGTCTTAACTGTTAACTACGTTCTGTTGACTGTCTTAACAAAACCAAGATCTTTTGATAATGTCCCTTTAAAACAGTTGCAGAGATATATGTACATCTAATGCCAAGAATAGGTTCCTACTTTGAAGAATTTGCATTAATGAAGCAGATAAAAAAACATCTGATGACTTGTGTTTATGAGAGATTCTTTCATTACAACACTCTGTTGTTTAACATACTACTTCTTACCAAATATTTTTAATCAACATAATTGTCACATTTAAGAGAAAAGCAAGATGAATAATAAAACAAATAACTTCTTTGGAGTTCTACTCCAAAAGATAAGGGATAAGGCATTTAAGGAGTCTGGTGTTAATAGCACACTTTTGCTTCCACAAGCTAGTTTAGAAAGATAAGACTTGACCACAGACTATATAAGCTAAATAAAACATACACACACAATCACAAAAACAGCCTGCTTTCTGCTTCTTACCAGGTTTAGATAAAAAGCATGAAATTGAAACATCAGTGCTCTCCATTTATAATCTTTTAAAGAGACTGTGAGCTAAACTTGCAAACAAAAATCCCAACAACATCCAAAGGATGAGATGCTTATGAGGAAAAAAATTAATCAGTAGTTCAAAAGAAAAAGTATAAGAAAAATGTGGGCCTTTTTTCCTTTAGATTCAAAATTTCAGAAGAAATTTCTTCCACACAAAACAAAGTCACTAAGGGAAAGCATCTTCCAAAAAAACCAGGCCATAAAAGCACATAAGAGAACACTAAGAAAAAATCTCCATAGAATTCTTGCCCTTGACAACTACTATATTATCCAATAGATTAGTCAAATTGACAGTTGAAGTAATCTCTAGAGAGATAAATTAACTACACACCTATTTAGAACTTAGTATTGTTTGCCTAAAGATATGTCTACAGTATTTAGAGACACTCTAGTATATCTTTAAAATTAACTCACATATGAGATTATGTGAAGATTTTTTACTTTGCCTAATTTCATCAGTAATAATGTAACAAACAGTTTCAAAGGAAATAGAGATCCAGAGAAAAATTAAATTTCACATATAAAAGCTGCATGGTTGAGTGTACATATCTGAAACTGAAATGTATCTTCAGTGGTTTTATACATCAACAATGTCATAAACTATCAGACTTCTAAGGTAGCTATACAGGTACTGGTTTTATCAAAGTAAATATTCGCTTTATCATAATAAACTGATTTAGGTAACATACATCACTACTTAGTCTGTGCACCATCTGTAGGTAGTCTTCATTTGAGCCATGTCTAGAGTTATCAGCATGATGATTAGCTGAATTTCCAGACAACTGGCTCGAAACTTTATTTTCATGGAGATTCCTCATCCCAGCTGTGACAATGGGACTGGATACAGAAGCTAAAATACAAAAAAAAAATTTAAGTAACTATATTGGCACATTCACACACGTGTTAACTCTTTAAAAGTTTCAGAGAAAACACCCTAACAGTCGATATTAATAAGCTGGATGCAAGAGGTCTGGAATCTGAAGGAGAATCCAACTTTTTAACTGAATCATTTTGCCTTGATCAAATACCTTGATCAAAAACAGATATCTAAGATTGTTCAAGAAGATTTAATCCTTAAATTCCATATACAGATTGGCCAAATTTCTCTCCACATCTATTCTAATTACCGTCAGTATCTTCCCTACTGATTACAGAAACCTTTCTTTACTTCTATATAATTTGCATTCACTACCTTGTAACTTCCAAGGTATTCATAAGACTTACAATATTACATACAGAACAGCTATATATACTCTAAGCCCAATGCTAAACTTAAAGAAAAAAAATATTTAAAAGAATCCAATGAGAATTCTACTTACCAACAAAAAAAATGCTCTAGATACTTTAGCACTGTTCATGTGTTCAAGAGTGATTTTAGAAAAGGGAAGAACAAAGAAATCTATTCATTCTGAAGGTCACCTATGTCAGTTACTGCATACCTTGAGCACAATTCTGCCCAATTTAGAGTTAATCTGGTAGACACTGAAAAGGGTTGGTAAGGCTAAATAAGCTGCCAGCAAAACTTACATTATTTTGGCAAAAGTGAGGTTTTTACTAGTACAGACAAGTGACGCCCACAACTAACAAATATAAGCTTTTGGTTTGTTTTCACTTTTTCTATTGTCATGTATACACAACAACTACGCACAATGGGTGTAAATAAGGGAGCATTGCAACATGAATGTGTGTTTTAACTGTTCTTCTTCACTTCTATTTATTTGCTTTTTAAACAAAGTAGACTACCACTCTTTACAGCCAGGAAAGCAAAGCCTAAATATACCTGCCTCAAAGATTTGCATTAAGCATGTAACTTCTTCAAAGGAGTTAGAAAGCCATGAAATGTACTCATGAAAGTAAAAGTGACATGAGACAGGAGAATAAAAGAAACATCGGAGACTTGCCTTGCTGCATCTGAGGATGTGGTGTGTAACTTGGAGGGTGTGAATACGGCATGTATCCCGCAGGGCTTTGAGGAGCATATGGACTAGGCACTGGACTGTTCTGTTGTGCCAAAAATCTGTTACCAGAGCTTGTCTGTGGCGGCACAAACCGGCTAAAAATAAAACAAAATTTTATAAAAACAAGTTTTTAAAAGTTGGAAAAGCAAATTTAGACAAACTTCCTTCTTTTGGAATATTACACACTCATAACATTTAACAAGATTCCTTCAAGAGAGAGAAACCTAACAGAGTGGAGAACTTCCTTCAAAAGCAGTATTTAAACTACTGATACCTTTCCAACTGCAATTATTACTTATTAAGTCAGAATAGAATAAAAAGCATACACAAGACCTCCTCCTAAATGACACAAATATGTACTAAAATTAGATCTGCAACTTCCAAAAGTTAGTCTTAGAAGTTTGAATGAAAGTGAAAGTAAAAGTTTTAATCAACAATCAGATCACTAGGATTAACAAGGAGCCATATCTAAATATCACTTTCCAGTAAGATTTCAAAAAACCTCATCTAACAGAACTACATTGCCAAGAATCAAGAATGTGATAGGTAGGACCTGACCCAACTAACAAAGGCAGAGGGACTTCTTAGGCCGGAAAGAAAGTTTGTCAAAATTATGGGATGGGGAGAGAGAAAAGAATCATGATAAATCCTTAGAATACAAGGATTAATTCGTTGACAGAAAGATGTTTCTTTGCCATCTGAATAAACTTACCCTGATGTCAGACAAATGCAAATATCATCTTCCACTCACATATTTGCAACAAGAATTTACTTTCAGTATAGGACAAACTTGAAGTTCACTGCCCCTCCCACCCCACCTAAAAGCAAGGATTACCTGGAAGGGCTATGTGAGATAGTGGTTTGTTGATAATTGGAAGATGCAGGACTACCACGCATGGAATTCTGAGAAATATTAAACTGCGACATCATCATCCCTATAGAAGAGAAGACAGTAGCGTTACTTTACACACATTTCCTTTTCAATCAGTGAAGTCTCTCATTTCAGAAACTATTATATTCAATGAGATTATAACCTTTAATGAGATTATAAACTTTATAGACATTAAGGTCCTCTACCTACAACTGCTAGAAAACATTAGAAATTATATCTATGATGTCCATTTTACATCATGACATAACGCATTCCCTAAAGCTGTGTTACAAATACTAATAGCAGCTCCTTCTACTGTTCCTTAGAGTTTTACAGGGCAAAACCTACTAGTAAAGAGAAACATTTCAAAACAGGACATATATTCTGCACCCCAGGATGTCATGTATGGTACTCATTGTGCCAGTAAGATTTGGAAGATTCACAAGACAGAAGAACACCTTATCTTCAATTGTTGGGGCAAGTATAGCAATCAATCATCCTGGGTTGAGTGCTGCAAGATACTCTCACTGCTCCTGTAATGTCTAGTGGCCTCTTTCTATTCCACCTCCACTACACTTGTAAGAAATGTTATCAACGAAGGTGTTGAAATATTTCAATTGCAAAGCAGAACCAACATGCCAACTGGAAGCTCCCACAGCCTGTAAATACTCACAGTCATGCTTTGGAAGTTCAGGTGTTGAACCATCTGGCAAGCCACATGTGTACCAATGTTCTTGAAACAATTTAAGAGGTATTTGGGCAATGCCCTTAATTTGCTTGAATTTTTAGTCAGCCCTGAAGTGGTCAGGCAGCTGGATTAGATGATCATGGTAGGTCCCTTTCAACTGAAATATTCTATTCTATTCTGTTCTGACTCACATCATTATTAAGGAGAATTAAAAGGATCTTTTTTTCCCCTCTCTTTGATACAGGTATAAAGAATACTCTAACAACTACACAACACTTAAAGTGATAGTGAAACACAAAAACTAAATTAATTTTAAGTTATTTTAGTGACAGAACTTAATGTCACTATTGCAGTTAAAAAAGTGTGAAAATTCACGAGCACACAGCAGCAAGTGATCCGTAGCCACAGGGAAAAGCTCTTTAGTAGTACAGGTATTTTAAAACAAAGGTTAGACAGAAGACTGACAAGATCCCCAGTCCAGAGGTTTGGGAAGATTTTTGTCAGTCCTACAGTTGGTATTATTTCAACGACTGCAATACTTACACAAGTAAAACTAGTTTCAGAAATCTTCCCTATCACCCTCTTTTCTCCTCCACTTTCCCCAGCAGAGAAGAGATGTGATAATCCCACAGAAAAGAAGCCAAAGTGCTGCATACCAAGGGCTCGAGCACAATAAAACTAGCTTTGAACAGGAGTCTAACATGTTGTGCTTAAAAAAGTTAGATACTTCCATACTTCAGGAGAGAGTACATTTCATCTTCCTGAGTAACAGATGAGGACTGCACAAGTCCTACAAAATTTGCTTAAATTTGACACTGGTTACCTCGCATAGAGACAAGTGAAGATGAAACTCCATTCCTAACAGAAAGCTGACAGAGTACCCATATGAGCAGAAACTCTACAAAGTTTCAATTTTGTGCTTAAAGCACAGAGTGCTCTTTTTATAATGCTTTAAAAATATATCTATTTATGTTCTCCTTCCTAAATTTAAAACAGCTTGAAAGTAGCCTGAAATTTCTCACTAGCACTATAATATCTTTTTACACATTTTTCACATTGTTGTTATATCACTAAGCCACAGATTTACGGCTCCACTGTGCATTTCTGCCTTTAAATATTTAGGACCTTCCTTAAATGCAATCTTTATTCTGAATGTTGGCAATATTCAGGTTTGAGAAAACATCATCCTGTCAGTAACATTACTAGAATGAGATTCCTTACGTATACTCCCAGTCCTACCACAACTTTTTTTGGAAAAAAATGAAATGTAAAAATCCATTTTAGCATTCCTATCAATATGACGAAGAATGCACTTCATAAAAACCCAGCTTAAGGTCACACAAAAATCCTTGTACAACCAAACTGTATTACAGCATCATGCACACTTAGGCTGGGACAGCTCACCAAGAGGTGATTTTTCAGTCAAATATTCACTCTTCTTGAAAGTGTTCGTGAGCAAAGTTTTTTGCTTTCACAGGACAAGTGCATTTGAATTCTTGTACAAACAAAAAAAAATTGAAGTCATTAATGTTTATGGAAAGAGCCATAAGACTTTAATCTCCCCAAATTCACAAGTTCTGAAAAATAGTTTGAAGTGAACGTTTAGTCCTTTCTGAACCCTGAATACTGTTACTGCAAAAAACTATTTTAGCTGATCTTCCAACATATCTGCTGAAAGACAAAGCCAAAGTGTTGAGAGGTAAAAGAGAAACAAGTAATATGAAAACTGAAATTAAACAGTACCCCAATTTTAAATAAATAATTACAAATAAATCCTCTTCCCTCACACACTATAAGATGAAAGACAGAAGTTGTAAGTGGGCAACAAGAATGTCATCTTATAAAAAAGGGTTAAAATAAAATTAACACTTTGCCCTGGTACAAAAGCCTGGCAACAAATGGTGATGTGATTCAGTATGTTCAGACAATCTGGTACTAAAACATGGTCTCAAAAATCTCAACTGTATGAAGACTGTTTTGACAATGGGATTGTTATCAACAGACAGAGAGTACGAGTTCAAATACTGTTGCTGTGTTACCTGAAACTAAATATGCCAGTGATGGGGAGGAAGGGGAGGTGAAGGGTGCCTGCTTAGGACACTTCCTTCTTACACTATTTGATCATAACTAATAACAATTCTTGTCCTAAATTTGCCCTCTCCCTCATTTCTGCTATCTAGCAGTATATCTCGCTACACCTCGGAAGAGAATTAGCTGTCAAACAATAAAATCTGTAGGGCATCACAGACCACTGAGATGAGGAATGGCAGGGAGAAACTGCTAAGTATGGCACATTGAACCTTACTCCTTACTCCAGAACCATTAAGAACTGTCTCCGCAATGATACACCATAATCATTCAGATTTTCAGTAAGATCAAGGCATTTTTTTCTGACTTCAATTATTTACTTAGACAAATACATGAACCTATTCATAAAAAATCAAATAAAATAGTTTTAAAATAAAATCTAATCCCATATCCTAGAGATTAAACTTCCAGAAGAAATGAAACATTTTTAGAAAAATACCCAGTAGCTTTTATTTCCATTCTTATTCTAACATAATCACTCTTAAAAGATGTTAAGGTACACAGTTTTATATCACTATCAAATACAAGGCAAGGCATAAATACAACTGCTATGCCCCATATATATCTGTGGTTTGTATCAGTCCCCTAAACCTACAGAACAACATAAAATGCAATCAATAAACAAAAAGTCCTTACCGCTTTGTACCCCGTATCTGTTTTGCATGCTTTTCTCCCTGAAAACATTAGGATTCCTTGCCAGGATAGCCTGCAGCAAGACTGGTATATCTCCCTCTGGATCATCACTGCCAAGGTTATCTTTCAACTCTCTGGAATTGTGGAAGTAAGCAAATAAAGAGGCAAATGCATTTTCAAATTATAAGAAACTATGAGTCAAGTAAAAAAAAAAACAAAAACAAAGAAACCAAAAAAAAACCAAAACCAAAATGAAAGAAGACAATTTACTGTTAAAATATAGGAAAAATCAAGTCTGCAAAGCACTGCTTCCTGCCTTTATTTTCTCTTTCTTTCTAACGAATGGCAGAGGAAATATTCCTACTAGTCCTCATAGTTATTTTCTGCTACTAAGCATTTACATATTTGTGGCTCTCAGTTTCAGACTATTATGAGGAATTTCTTATGCCCACTTTTATATCATGATCTTCTTCATAAAAGAACACTTCAGCACAACACCAAGAATGAATTATTTTAGGAGTGAAAATAAACGTATGCACGAATGTATAACATTCTGGTTTCAACCCAATGCTTTGAAAATCTTTTGTTTTGAAACAGGGAAATTGGTATATCTTTGAGATCACAGGATTCCCTCTGAACCACAAAAAAATGTAATGGATTTTCTATAAATGCATCTATGCTTTCATTTATTGTTTGCTTTGAGGACTTTTAAAATATACCTCCATTGGATCAAAATAACATATTAGAACATGCAGGAAAAAGACAGGGTTGTCAACACAAAACAGTTCAAAGGACACCAGGGAAAAAGAAAAAAAAAATAACAAAAAGAGAACACATTACCATACTTAATAGCTCAGTTCTTAAAATATGTAAGTTCAATACCTGATCAGAATTGACATAGGTTTCCTTTGAGTATGTAATTTGTCTATGTGCATTATTAACTGATGCTGAACACAAATTAGTATTGCACAATCAACACCATGAAGTCTGCACTCCTAACTATCCAGAAGGTAGTAAGCATCAGATCCATAAAATAACCCCCACAGTTATGTGTAAGGGCTAAAGGACAATTATTAACATTCTATCTGACTGAAACATTTGACCCTTACGTTGCAAGCCTAATGAAAAAACTCTAACTTTCATATTCTCACAAATATGCTTCTCAATCCAGTCAATTTTAATTTCAAGGAATAAGGACAGTAGTCTGATGTAGAAGTTTCAAAATACATACATGTGATCTGTTGACACCTGATTGAGACTGTGTACAAGCTGTGAAACCAGATTTTCATCCCTGCAAGCCAGAAGGCAGTTCACCTCTTCAGCTATTCGTCCATTGAAAAGCAGGCTTTTTGTTGTTGTAGCAGGTAAAGGTGATGGAAGAGGCAGCTGGTTCAAAACTGTTATCAGAAAACAGAAAGAACTTCAGAATCATGTAACAAAACACAAACATACAACTGTGGAAAGAGAACCTGACAATTACATTTAAAATACAGGGAAAATGTCTAGATTTTTTTTTTAAAAATCACAAACACACACACACACACACTCTTACATGCCCCTCACACCCACATCCCCACTCACACACCCACACTTGACTCTTTAAACATTCCAAAACATTAAGCTGTTTAATACATTATGGCAGCTTTCTCTGGGAGCCAAAAGCATTGATAAAGAAAAGAAATGCAAAATTCTTCTTGCTATGTGCAGTACTGTAAGTGCACTGAGGATATACTTTCAGTTTTCTGCTCTGTTCTTAATATTCAATTAGTTTTCCCACTTTATAAGGTCTGGAAAAATAAAGAAAAGCCCAACAAAACCACCAAACAACCCAACAACCAATTAAAATCACTAACTAAATTCTCAGATTATTGTTCTGCTGTAGTATTTATTCCTATGTTAGTTATCTTCTCAAGAAAGGTTGGTACTGTTGCTAAGTATGTTTGCGGAAATGTCAATTCAGACAGTAAACTCATTCACAAATCTCAGTAGAAAGATTCAGTGACAACACTATTTCAGAGATTGTAAGTACACTGTACTTTCATGGGCATTCTTAAGTCCTCATACACAACAAGTGTGCCATAAAAGAACCCTTGATCAGATGATTGTTAGAGCTACACATCCAGAAGAGGGTAAGCCAGAAGAGACCAAAAACCTAGCTACACAGAAAAGTCACTTTCATGGCTTCAGGAAAACAGGCTGACTCTAAGTTCCCAGGTTGATCTCATCTCTGAGATGAAGGTTTTAACTGAACCGCTAGAAATTACTTCAGGAAAAAAAATTACAAATAGAAATGTATAATATATTAAAATAGCTAACTTTCATTGTTTGCATCAGATTACCTTGAACATGCCTGAAACTTCAAAAAATTAGCACAATCAGCAAAATACATTGATTAAAACAGTAAATTTAGCTAAGCAGCTAGCTAGCCTACTCTACTGCCTCTAGGCATCATGTTTTTAGGGCAACTAGTCTTGTCCATTCCATTTCAGTGTTTAAAGAGACTCCTGCACCCGAGTCTGACCAGGGACTTCTACCAGTTAAGAAACCTTACCTGCAAATGCTAAATGCTGGCAAACTGCCCACAGCCAGAAACTTATTATTTGCATCCTGATGGCTGTTATTACATACACATAATACAATACACACATAAACATCTAAATACATGAACAGCATTTTCCACTTTACTTCCGAATCCCAGAGGGACACGGAGAGGGTTTTTTCCTCCAATACAACTGCCGCTTTTACTGTAGGCAACTAAAATCAACTGCTGGGTATAAACTTCCAGCGTCTCTTGGAAAGTCTCCAATTTTCAACAGCGTAACAATAAAAATAAGAACTCGGAAGAAGCACCTGGGTCACTGAGTCCAATTATCCTCAGATAGAGAACTGAGAAATAAATTCTTTCTTACTCTTTATATACTCAATATAACAAGACGCATCTTTGTCACAACTGCTCTTATTGCAATGATTGTTCTAGGACCTCACAATTATCATGATAAATCTCCTCTTATTTCTCACCAGAAATTTATTTGGTCACATTATAATCATTCAGGTTTATGTCAGTATTAGCTTTTAATGTAAATATTCTTTTTTTTTCCTTGCATTTTGTCTTCCTGATATATTTAAGTCAGCACACGTACTTCACGTGCCCCTGTGGTAGGCTGAACAGCTAAGAAAGAAGACTCACAGGTTCAGCTGCTTATCTCTATTCTAGCAGCCATTCTTTGCACCTATTAACTAAAGCGACTTTTTTTGTACCTTATTCAAAACTAAGAAACTAGGTTTCGAGTATATTCAGCACATTCCACAAGTCTCTTTGTCTACTTGTACATCAGTCCAACCCTGTGTCCCTCTCTTTTCAGTGAAGATGATGGGATGCATGTTTTAGAGAAACACTTTATTATTTATATGTTTTTCTTCATTTGTATCTTCTTTATTTGTGTGGTACCGAGATATGTTACTGAATGATATTCCAAACAAATAATGAATTCCTATATTTTGTCAGGCTATTCACATGTTTTATTTGGATAGATTTTTAAAATTCAAGCAATAACAAAACTAACATTTTTAATGCCAAGTCTGATTTTAAACAGATTTAAGTCTTAGGAATTTTTAAACTATAAATCTTTTCAGTATTTTAAAAATGCAGGTATTTACCAAAGAGGTAGAAAACAGCACAGAAAAGACAAGAAAAAGAAGAGTACTTACGGTCTGTAAGACTAGCAATCCCTGCAAGAGTAGTGATGGGAACATGAGGCATATCCCCATTCATCCTGAAGTTCTGGGATAGTAGTGCCTACACAGATATTTTAGTTCAGGTGCCAGCTATCATTACTTCCCATCTCCCAAGCACTAAAAACAAAAACAAACAAAAAGAACAAGTTAAATCTCTCGGTTTACTTTTTTAATGAATTTTAAATTCATTAACATAAATGAAACAGATCATGCTCCCCTTAGCTGCATACTTAGTAAATTATTTACAGAGTCGGTAGAAAAGTGTAGATTTAAGTAATGAGTGGCATTTAGCAACCAAAAGGTAAGCTGGTCTCAGAAGCAGAGCCCTTCACCAAAAAAAAGATGCAGGATAAGGCAATAAAATAAAAAAAAAGAATTTGTTCAACTCAAAACTTCTGTTAATTCATAATGCACTGGATAGAACTTAATGCATAACCAGTTTCATTAATTAGCTGTTATATTCACCTCACAGTTGTGCAGAAGGTGGTACTTTCATAAAGGGATTACCAAGAACAAAGGAGTAATTTACAAATGCAAAAATCAAATGCAAACAAACAGACAAATACAAAGTCTTAGTACATTATAGAAGTAGTAGCTATTTCAAAATTGATCTGAAAATATCTCTTTACTATATAAGTCTGTCTGGTCAAACTAGTACCAGAAATCCTATTAACCTCTCTGGGGAAAAAAAGAAAAGTTTAGCCACAACTGAAACAGTGTCTTCATTTCCTGTAAACCAGCACATTTTATATTCAACTTATGAAAAAAAGATTTTGTTCACTTGGTTTTCACTAACTATAAAGGTCCTAGATGTAAGGAAGTCCACACTGATTAAAAAAAAAAAAAAACAACAGGTCCAAAACATCTAAAACTTACAAACATCACACATATAATCTCCTATTATATAATGAAATTAATACGATTTTTCTGAAGACATTAAAGGAATTTCATATATATGTGGTTACCCATTGTAGACAGGCAAGAGTTTTGGAGATAGTGAAAAGGGTTCTTATGTAAGCATTTCTCTTATGTCCTGAAGATGCTGAAATCATGATTTACCTACACTTCTTTACAAGCCTACATTTTTGAGAATTACACATGAAATACATGCAAACCAAGAGATCCCTGTCATGTTGTTAGTAATCTTTTATCTCATTCTTTCTTACGCCACACTAACGGCAATATATAGGACACCACTGCTTACAAACACAAATAGACTCCAAGACAAGGAATCAAAATGCTGTTAAGTCTTTTTCCTGCTCAAAGTTTTCACAAACCACTGAAATTAACCTTTCAAAGTGTCCCAGTTGGACCAGGATTTTGACAAAAACACCAACGCTGAGGTTAAACAGAAATAATAATAAGTTGACTTCCTTTGCTCATCTGCCACAGTCTCAGTCTCAAATAAATTACTTTTTTTAAAAGTTAAAAATACACTACAATACAGATACAGTGATCTAGTAAATAAGGAAACTGCTATAGATAGATATTATATATGGGTTGCTGTGTTTAGGGTTTTTTAATCCAGAAGAAAACATCCCTCAAATACTCACAGCAGTTTCAAGTACTACTTGATACTCAAGGGTTTTTTACTCAGAATGAATAGAAATACACACAGAATTTCAGTGGTTTCCTAGTTCCATAAATAAGCACTTCTTAAGAGAGAAAAAACCCCCTCAATACTGCAAAAGAGTCTCACAATGAGTCTGCAACAGCAAAACCATGGGAGCTAACACTTTAATAATCTGAGTTTTCATTGAAAGGCTAGAAACTAAAGAACACCTTTCACAAATAATTTATATTTGCCATAAAAATATCATGTCTGATGATCTCTCCTGACTGAAAGTGCATCAAATCTAAGGCCACATCACCAGCCATTGTTATCAGAAATTTGTCTGTAGCATAGAACCAACGAAAAACAAGAAACAAAAGGTCTGTTCACCCTCCCTTTATTATCACATTTGGGAAAGATGTTAATACAGAAGCTGTCACTCCTAATTCAAATTCTTTCCCAGTTGTTACTGCCACAATAAATAAGTTATACAGATTTTTAACTGGCAAAATTCCTCCAAAGCCAGATGCTTAAATTAGAAACCTTCTCCACAGACACATGATAAGAAACCTGAACTGGTAAGATCCAGACCTGAGAGTGGAGCAAGTGCAGTGAGCTATGATGTTCAGGGGAAAAGTAAACTTTCTTTGTAAGGGGAGAGTAAAAGGGGTTGGTTTGTTTAGCTAACAAAACAAAGGTCAAGAGGGGATGTGGTTGCTCTCTCTAGGGCGGCCAAAGAAGGTTACAAAGGAAGAATGCCAGGGAGCAATGCTAACACAATAAACGGGCACGTGAATGCAAGCAAGAAGAAAATCAGAGCAGAGCTTCTCACCATCAGAGCTGCCACCTTCTGGAACAGCCTTCCATTAGGAGTAGTAGAGATAAGCAACACCATTACTTCAAAGATGGATCACACAGATGTTACAGTAGGGACAGAATGTGGTTGCCTGCACCAGTTGGAAACTAAGTACAGCAATTCAAGAAGTCTGTCTCTGACATTATGAAGATTTTGTAAGCATGATGAAGTGAGTAAACAGAGGAGAGCAAACAAGAGAGAAAGAGAGACTGATGGGATTAAGTGATGAGATTATTTTATAAAAACAAACACAATATGAAGAAACCACATAGTAATATCTGGGTCCAAATACTACATATGTTTTATTGAGGGCAAAACTGCATCTGTTATAAACTGGTAAACAATGTGGGATTCAATTCCAGAATTAGAGACTGAGATCCAGTGAAAAACTAGAACTCAAATTTGATGCCACCGAGAACATCAATAAACTCATTCATTTAAGGATTTTAAAATCTCAAGTATATGGGGAGGAGGGGGGAATTTGTCAGGTCAAGATGACATAAATAGTTTCATACAAAACACCATAACGGCATGCAACACTTAACAGCATGACAGACAGACAGGTTTTGTTGGGTTCCCCACTCCCCATTCCCCAAATGTTAGAAGAGTTAAAAGTACTAAATTGTAGCAGCTCGCAATTAGCCGAGAAGAATCAACTTTTTCAATAGTAAAATTTTCTTTTGTTAAGTAACTGTTACCAATTGTATAACATTTTTATCCTTAAACTGTAAAAAGGAAGCTGTTACTTATATTAGCTGAATTAAGGAAATCAAAGAACTGCACTGTAAAGTTTCTAAGCAATGCATTAGACCATAGTGTAGCAGTTCAGAGTAGGAGCAATGCATATGAGGTCTTGTATATTCAGAATTTACGTATTTACACTCCTGCTTTATAAGAAAGAACGGAACGGATACCCTAAAAGACATTTCAGGACGAAGGAACCATGCCATACAAAGGAAGTGATACAAAGAATCCCCTAGTGAAAGGAAAATGGGGAAATGGTAGCACATCTTGAGAATAATACAAGAAAAAGTTATGATCATAATAGACAATAATAGAGCAAAACCAAACCAAGATAACAAGGAGAGTCATACTAAAAACATTTATGATATGGATAATAAGTGCTACTTCTGTATGTTATCTTCTTCTCTTTCTTTTTTTTTTTCCAATTATCTACTTTCTCCTTTACTGTAAATAACATTCCAAAGAAAATTCCTATCAAAATGTTAAATCTCAAACATTGCAAGTTGTTCAGTTTTGGTAGTATGCTTTGGGGGGGTTTTTGGTTGGTTTTTAAAGTAGAAATTAAATAGTCCATAGTATGGAAGACACTGACTGCCTTCAGAGGCAGAAGGTTAGGGCTCTGTCATGTGGATCCTCTCTGCAACTCATCCCTATACATATTCAGCATTTTTTACCATAGTACTAGATTAATGCCAGAGCAGAATACTAACAAAAAAAACCTCTAAAAATTGGCAGAGAGAATGGACAGGGGTAAAATTAAGAGAGGAAGAGAGGATGAAAGTTGAGAACAATTTAAGTAAAGGGACACTGAATATCCAGTAAAGAGAGAATACAGGCAGAGAAAGGAAAATAAACTCAAGCAAACAAAAAAAAATTGCCCTATAAAAATAAAATAATAAAAGAAACAAACCACAATTGTATTTTTTCAGACATTGCAGCATCTGATTATCAGTGAAACAATGAGAGGACTCTGACCACTGGTTATCATACGAGGGTACAAGCTCTGCATTTATGAAACATTCCTCTTGGTTTAAAAACTGTCTTGTCTCCTTAACAAAAATAAGGATAACAAAAACAAAGATAAGGATAACAAAAACAAAGATAAGGAACCAATCTCAGAAGTTTCTTATATACACTTAAATGTTTCATTCCTCGTACTCCAGGATATTCTTTGACTTATTATATTTTTTGATTTAAAACAATAACTTAAATCTGTCTGATGTGATATTTTCCAAGAAGAAAATTACAGACAAAATTACGTGGATTAAAATTAAATTTTAAAGAAAGGCTATGATATTAGATATCTATGTTTTTCTTTTTAAACTCATTCTATTAAAAAGAATACTTTGAATACAATTATGTTTTATTTGGTTTGATTATGAAATATTTATTTAGCAGAAAAATAAAAAGTGGTTTCAGTTTCTTATATGTTGAGGAACATCATATAGATATAACCACAAGTTGATTTCTTTAGCTGCACACTCAAAGTAAACCAGTAAATTTATGAATTAGCTAATTTATAACTTAGATGATCAGTGGATATTTTCTTTTAAATCACCAAATGTGCAACGACAAAGTTAAGAATCTGTCTCATAGCCAGTTTTAAACTTCCACATTTTGTAATAAACTACTTTTCCTGTTAGTTACTATATGAATCTCTGCTAGCTATCAGTCCACAAACTATCCCTTTAAAAATTGCTTGAATGAGAATCACAAAGAGAATGAATTAACATTCTCTAGTTCTCACTTAAATAAGATACTATGACTGAGGTACATCACACAGATTTACCCACAAGAGGGCAGATTTCTGGTTTTCATTCCAGAGCTACAGTTTTATACAATGACAGTAAGTTTGCAGACCTAAATGCTTTGAAAAGTACTTCAAAAACATACTAAAGAAGGAGACATAGCTGCCAAAACATAGTATAATACTTAAGCACTTGGAGGGCAAGCGTACACATCCAC